CCAGCCTGCCTCACGACGCTGGCCAGCCTGCCTCACGACGCAGGCCAGCCTGCCTCACGACGCTGGCCAGCCTGCCTCACGACGCTGGCCAGCCTGCCTCACGACGCTGGCCAGCCTGCCTCACGACGCTGGCCAGCCTGCCTCACGACGCTGGCCAGCCTGCCTCACGACGCTGGCCAGCCTGCCTCACGACGCTGGCCAGCCTGCCTCACGACGCTGGCCAGCCTGCCTCACGAGGCTGGCCATCAGGACGAGAGCGTGTGATCTCGCTCCCCCTGGCCCACCCTCAGGTAATCCCTCCACGAGACCTGGACGTGCGGGTTGAAAGATAGTCTGATTGTCGGCTCACCCGACACCCACCAGTCCGTCCGTCCGTCCGTCTGCTCACCCGACGCATCATGTTAACGAAAAAGGTATTTTCAGTCGGTAATAAATAAAAGTAGGAAATTTAAAACATTTGGTTCCTTTTCATCAAATTTCCTGAACTGTTGAAGAGGTTAGAGCAATACGTGCGCGCGCAGAGTTTACAGAAGTCTGGCCTCCAAGGGAACCCACAAAACAAGGGTTAGGATACTATCTCGCGTCACAACCAGTATTATTTTTTATCACCTTAAAATCCATTAAGGAACCAACACACACACACACATTTTAATGCTCGCTTTCCACACACAAAAAAATATTACATTTACACTTTACAATAGGCTCCCATTTAAAAAAAAATTAACGAATGGGAAACTGATTCGGTTTTGTTTTTTGTATTTTTTTTGGCGCGAGAGGAGAGAAAGAAATGCATTTAGAGTAGTGAATTATTCGGTCTACGCTACTCACAAGTAAGTTTGCCTAATTGTGGATGCATGTACACTTGATGTTCATTAATGTGATTTTAATGGAGTCAGATTACAAAGTAGAGTGTGTGCGGAGGACGACCGCGCTGGGGCAGGCTGGGGATGTTGCTTTCATTTTCATGTTTAGTTTGGATGGTATTGCGTGTTTTTCTATCAATTAGTGGCCGGGCTGGATTACAGGTGGAGTTCTTTTACAAATGGAGTTTTCGCTCTTTTGTCTAGCACGGTAATGACTCTGACAAAAGTGTTTCCCGTCTTCTGTTGCGTGGTTGGAAAACAATTCGAGGTGTTTTGTGTTTGTAAATGTGACTTGGAACAAAAACAATTAATTTCCTCACTCTCTCAGGCGTAGGGCGTAATTGAAACTACTGAAAAAACATTTTCTTTAGTAGTATACAAGTGAATGTGCTTAACCTCGCTTATATTCTCTTAGCAGTTTAGTGCTGGCAAGTGGAGGTGTGGCTGTGACCCCCGACCCCAGGGGCTGGGTGTAGCTGTGACGCCCGACCCCAGGGGCTGGGTGTAGCTGTGACCCCCCGACCCCAGGGGCTGGGTGTAGCTGTGACCCCCCGACCCCATTGGCTGGGTGTAGCTGTGACCCCCCGACCCCAGGGGCTGGGTGTAGCTGTGATCCCCGACCCCAGGGACTAGGTGTAGCTGTGACCCCCGACCCCAGGGCCTGGGTGTAGCTGTGACCCCCGGACCCCAGGGGCTGGGTGTAGCTGTGACCCCCGACCCCAGGGGCTGGGTGTAGCTGTGACCCCCGACCCCAGGGGCTGGGTGTAGCTGTGACCCCCGACCCCAGGGACTAGGTGTAGCTGTGACCCCCGACCCCAGGGGCTGGGTGTAGCTGTGACCCCCGACCACAGGGGCTGGGTGTAGCTGTGACCTCCAGGGCTGGGTGTAGCTGTGACCTCCAGGGCTGGGTGTAGCTGTGACCCCCGACCCCAGGGGCTGGGTGTAGCTGTGACCCCCCGACCCCAGGGGCTGGGTGTAGCTGTGACCCCCGACCCCAGCGGCTGGGTGTAGCTGTGATCCCCGACCCCAGGGGCTGGGTGTAGCTGTGACCCCCGACCCCAGGGACTAGGTGTAGCTGTGACCCCCGACCCCAGGGACTAGGTGTAGCTGTGACCCCCGACCCCAGGGGCTGGGTGTAGCTATGACCCCAGGGACTAGGTGTAGCTGTGACCCCCCGACCCCAGGGGCTGGGTGTAGCTGTGACCCCCGACCCCAGGGACTAGGTGTAGCTGTGACCCCCGACCCCAGGGGCTGGGTGTAGCTGTGACCCCCCCGACCAGGGGCTGGGTGTAGTTTAGGCTCCGGCAAGCATTAAGAGTTGACAGCCACTTACCGGACGCCAGCTAAGCCAAGATGGTACTTAGTACGTTAAGAGACGGAGAGCTGCTATTGGTTAGTTCTTACCTTGACGGTTCTCCCGCTCCTTCCCTTGGACAACATGGTTATTGCCTACACCATACACTACCTTCTCCAATATTATTTCTCCTCCCACAGTACTCTACCTACTCCTCTACGCCATTATTTCTCCTGTTTCATTACTTCTCTTCCTCCTGCATTGTTTCTTCGCCCGAGGGTGTAGCTTATGCGCGCGCGCGCACACACTGGGCGGGTTAGAAAGGCGGGGTCCAAGAGCTAGTTATTAGTCAGCTCGGTGTTGCAGGCACAAGTAGTAAACACACACACACACACACACACACACACACACACACACACACACACACACACACACACACACACACACACACACACACACACACACACACACACTTACACACACACTTACACACACACTTACACACACACACACACACACACTTACACACACTTACACACACACACACACACACACACACACACACACACACACACACACACACACACACACACACACACACACGAGAGACACGAGACACGACACACGACACGACACGACACAAACGACACACTCACAGATACACACACACACACACACACACACACACACACACACACACACACACACACACACACACACACACACACACACACACACACACACACACAGTAATCAGTAGTCTTTTTATATCACATGTGATATATTGAGACGTGTGAACCACTTCCTTATAAGGTAATTTACAAATGCGGTGAGTCAGTTACTACGGTAAACACAGTTACTAGTCCTGCTCCACACCCACCCTACTGGGCGGCAGCTTTACAGTCATGTGCAGGCTGCACCTACAGTAAACAGACTTTGGATGCTTGGTTAGGATTTCTGGTATTACATCCTTATGACTAAAGTGCTTTCACATTTGTTAAACACCATTGATAGTTATCTCTGAATTCCTTGAATTTTTTGCATTCAATTGCATAATGAGGCGAAGTATGTGAATAGTGCTGGTGACAGTATGCATTTAGTCACGTTTACATCAGCAGTTGGTGCAAACTTCCAGAGGTACTGTGCTTGAGCCTAGCGGTAGTAACATTTAGACATCTGCTAGCCTTGTTTGATGATCCATAGATGTGCGGTCTATGCATAATAGAATGATGATAGATGGAGGAACTGGTGTGAATTTCACTTTGCCTCAAGTCTTCTAGATTTTGTTGCCGTTCCCGGAATATTACTGCCCTCAGGCTGCTTAAAGGCAGTCAATGATTGTAATCAATTCCCTCTTTACGAGCAAATCTTTTGGCTAACTCATCAGTTCTATCATGCTTCAGAGACCAATATGGGCAGGAATCCACAGGAGACAAACTCTGACTCCATCATTGATTATTTCATTATATCTGTGTCTAGCCTCAGACACAAGCATGTCAGTTATGCCTTGGGGAGCTGAGGGCAGTCAAGGATGACAAGGAGTCACTTACAATTAGCATATCAACGTTGGATTCATATACTCGTTCGAGTGCAAGAATTATGGCAACAATTATGTTTGAGGAGTGGAGGCCCAGTTATTTATACGCGCTCTACACTTATAGGAGGTCTCTCTCGCTTACGGGCTATTCATGTCCGTGCCACTTCTTGTGTGTGGCTTAATCTTTATCAATCAAATCTCTCGCTGTCACAACAACTGCACTTCCAGCTGCACCATGGGACTGATGTACGGAGCCATCTGTATAAACAATCTTGGAGTGGAGCGCTCTTTGACCAGAGCATCAATTTGGATTATGAGACAGCATGAGACACTGGCCTCGAGATGCTTCTTTCGTGTGGACGCGTCCCCTCCAGGGAGCAACTCCCTTCATCACGGGAGAATCCTCTGGATCTGCATGCTTCCGGGATTCGCAACTCGCCCAATTGATGATGATGTCTGACGACCTAACGTTTAGGGAACACAACCAAGCAAGTATTGCGTCAACCAGAAAAATGATCGGATGGATTACGAGGACTTTCAAATCCAGGGATCTCATCACAATGGTTGTACTATACAAATCACTTGTACTGTCCCGTCTTAAGTACTGCTCAGTACTCACTTCCCCTTAAGAGCAGGAGATATTGCTGAAATAGAGGGAAGACAGAGAACATATATGGCATATATAGACGCAATGAAGCACCTAAATTATTGGAATCGTCTCAAAGCTCTTCAAATGTACTCACTAGAAAGAAGACGAGAGAGATATCAAATAATATACACATGGAAAATACTGGAGGCCAGGTACCAAATCTACACAGTAAAATAACAACGTACTGGAGTGAACGATATGGAAGAAAATGCAGAATAGAACCAGTGAAGAGCAGAGGTGCCATAGGCACAATCAGAAAACACTGTATAAACATCAGAGGTCCGCGGTTGTTCAACGTCCTCCCAGCGAGTATAAGAAATATTGCCGGAACAACCGTGGACATCTTCAAAAGAAAACTAGATCATTTTCTCCAAGGAGTGCCGGACCAACCGAGCTGTGGTGGGTATGTGGGCCTGCGGCCCGCTCCTAGCAACAGTCTGGTGGACCAAGTTATCACAAGTCGGTAGTTGGGGAGTAGAAGCACTCCCAAAATCCACTCCAGGTACAACCTCGAATTGACTAGTGTAAAGATTCCCGAACCTATTGGGCTCTGTCAGGACAATTTTTGAAATTGTGTTCGGAGTCATGGAACTTCTGTTGTTTGGCATTGGAAAAATTATCCCTAATATTTCTATAGCTCATTTGCGTACCTAATTTCTACCAGTGTGCTTTTGTTCGTGTACCACTCATGTGAGCGTGTTCTTCGTGTACCACTCGTGGGTGCGTGTTCTTCGTGTACCACTCGTGGGTGCGTGTTCTTCGTGTACCACTCGTGGGTGCGTGTTCTTCGTGTACCACTCGTGTGAGCGTGTTCTTCGTGTACCACTCGTGTGAGCGTGTTCTTCGTGTACCACTCGTGTGAGCGTGTTCTTCGTGTACCACTCGTGTGAGCGTGTTCTTCGTGTACCACTCGTGTGAGCGTGTTCTTCGTGTACCACTCGTGTGAGCGTGTTCTTCGTGTACCACTCGTGTGAGCGTGTTCTTCGTGTACCACTCGTGTGAGCGTGTTCTTCGTGTACCACTCGTGTGAGCGTGTTCTTCGTGTACCACTCGTGTGAGCGTGTTCTTCGTGTACCACTCGTGTGAGCGTGTTCTTCGTGTACCACTCGTGTGAGCGTGTTCTTCGTGTACCACTCGTGTGAGCGTGTTCTTCGTGTACCACTCGTGTGAGCGTGTTCTTCGTGTACCACTCGTGTGAGCGTGTTCTTCGTGTACCACTCGTGTGAGCGTGTTCTTCGTGTACCACTCGTGTGAGCGTGTTCTTCGTGTACCACTCGTGTGAGCGTGTTCTTCGTGTACCACTCGTGTGAGCGTGTTCTTCGTGTACCACTCGTGTGAGCGTGTTCTTCGTGTACCACTCGTGTGAGCGTGTTCTTCGTGTACCACTCGTGTGAGCGTGTTCTTCGTGTACCACTCGTGTGAGCGTGTTCTTCGTGTACCACTCGTGTGAGCGTGTTCTTCGTGTACCACTCGTGTGAGCGTGTTCTTCGTGTACCACGCGTGTGAGCGTGTTCTTCGTGTACCACTCGTGTGAGCGTGTTCTTCGTGTACCACTCGTGTGAGCGTGTTCTTCGTGTACCACTCGTGTGAGCGTGTTCTTCGTGTACCACTCGTGTGAGCGTGTTCTTCGTGTACCACTCGTGTGAGCGTGTTCTTCGTGTACCACTCGTGTGAGCGTGTTCTTCGTGTACCACTCGTGTGAGCGTGTTCTTCGTGTACCACTCGTGTGAGCGTGTTCTTCGTGTACCACTCGTGTGAGCGTGTTCTTCGTGTACCACTCGTGTGAGCGTGTTCTTCGTGTACCACTCGTGTGAGCGTGTTCTTCGTGTACCACTCGTGTGAGCGTGTTCTTCGTGTACCACTCGTGTGAGCGTGTTCTTCGTGTACCACTCGTGTGAGCGTGTTCTTCGTGTACCACTCGTGTGAGCGTGTTCTTCGTGTACCACTCGTGTGAGCGTGTTCTTCGTGTACCACTCGTGTGAGCGTGTTCTTCGTGTACCACTCGTGTGAGCGTGTTCTTCGTGTACCACTCATGTGAGCGTGTTCTTCGTGTACCACTCATGTGAGCGTGTTCTTCGTGTACCACTCATGTGAGCGTGTTCTTCGTGTACCACTCATGTGAGCGTGTTCTTCGTGTACCACTCATGGGTGCGTGTTCTTCGCATTGCCAAAGCTTTTTGTCTAATTTGTGTGATGATGATTTTTGTATTGGTGGTGGTTGTTGTGGTTGTGTACCGAGTGTGGTGGTTGTGTACCGAGTGTTGTGGTTGTGTACCGAGTGTTGTGGTTGTGTACCGAGTGTTGTGGTTGTGTACTGTGTGTTGTGGTTGTGTACTGTGTGTTGTGGTTGTGTACCGAGTGTTGTGGTTGTGTACCGAGTGTTGTGGTTGTGTACCGAGTGTTGTGGTTGTGTACCGAGTGTTGTGGTTGTGTACCGAGTGTTGTGGTTGTGTACCGAGTGTTGTGGTTGTGTACCGAGTGTTGTGGTTGTGTACCGAGTGTTGTGGTTGTGTACCGAGTGTTGTGGTTGTGTACCGAGTGTTGTGGTTGTGTACCGAGTGTTGTGGTTGTGTACCGAGTGTTGTGGTTGTGTACCGAGTGTTGTGGTTGTGTACCGAGTGTTGTGGTTGTGTACCGTGTGTTGTGGTTGTGAACCGAGTGTTGTGGTTGTGAACCGAGTGTTGTGGTTGTGTACCGAGTGTGGTGGTTGTGTACCGAGTGTTGTGGTTGTGTACCGAGTGTTGTGGTTGTGTACCGAGTGTTGTGGTTGTGTACCGAGTGTTGTGGTTGTGAACCGAGTGTTGTGAACCGAGTGTTGTGAACCGAGTGTTGTGGTTGTGTACTGTGTGTTGTGGTTGTGTACCGAGTGTTGTGGTTGTGTACCGAGTGTTGTGGTTGTGTACCGAGTGTTGTTGTTGTGTACCAAGTGTTGTGGTTGTGTACCGAGTGTTGTGGTTGTGTACCGAGTGTTGTTGTTGTGTACCGAGTGTTGTGGTTGTGTACCGAGTGTTGTGGTTGTGTACTAGCCGGGTAAACTGTCGACCTGGCTACGATACCGTTCTGCTAATACCCACCAAAATTTGAGCTGGTGAACGAATATTAAATGTATCAAATGTCATTTCTCTTGAGTTAAGAGGAATTCTTATATGTTCAACATTGCTGCCGCTCGGAGCAAGAGGACAATTTGACAAGATCATTGGATAACGATTGGAATTCGAAATACAAATTTTTATCGAGTTTGTCGACCTGAATTTCTTTGGAAATTACTTTAGTGTAACCTCCTCAAGATTGTATAAAATTGCATTTCATTTCACCCAACTTCAATCGTAAGCGGCTCTCTGGGGTAGGTGGCTCTCTGGGGTAGGTGGCTCTCTGGGGTAGGTGGCTCTCTGGGGTAGGTGGCTCTCTGGGGTAGGTGGCTCTCTGGGGTAGGTGGCTCTCTGGGGTAGGTGGCTCTCTGGGGTAGGTGGCTCTCTGGGGTAGGTAGCTCTCTGGCGTAGGTGGCTCTCTGGGGTAGGTGGCTCTCTGGGGTAGGTGGCTCTCTGGCGTAGGTGGCTCTCTGGGGTAGGTGGCTCTCTGGGGTAAGTGGCTCTCTGGGGTAGGTGGCTCTCTGGGGTAGGTGGCTCTCTGGGGTAGGTGGCTCTGTGGGGTAGGTGGCTCTGTGGGGTAGGTGGCTCTCTGGGGTAGGTGGCTCTCTGGAGTAGGTGGCTCTCTGGGGTAGGTGGCTCTCTGGGGTAGGTGGCTCTCTGGGGTAGGTGGCTCTCTTGGGTAGGTGGCTCTCTGGCGTAGGTGGCTCTCTGGCGTAGGTGGCTCTCTGGGGTAGGTGGCTCTCTGGCGTAGGTGGCTCTCTGGGGTAGGTGGCTCTGGGGTAGGTGGCTCTGTGGGGTAGGTGGCTCTCTGGCGTAGGTGGCTCTGTGGGGTAGGTGGCTCTCTGGCGTAGGTGGCTCTCTGGGGTAGGTGGCTCTCTGGCGTAGGTGGCTCTCTGGGGTAGGTGGCTCTCTGGGGTAGGTGGCTCTCTGGGGTAGGTGGCTCTCTGGGGTAGGTGGCTCTCTGGGGTAGGTGGCTCTCTGGGGTAGGTGGCTCTCTGGGGTAGGTGGCTCTCTGGCGTAGGTGGCTCTCTGGGGTAGGTGGCTCTCTGGCGTAGGTGGCTCTCTGGCGTAGGTGGCTCTCTGGCGTAGGTGGCTCTCTGGGGTAGGTGGCTCTCTGGGGTAGGTGGCTCTCTGGGGTAGGTGGCTCTCTGGCGTAGGCGGCTCTCTGGGGTAGGTGGCTCTCTGGGGTAGGTGGCTCTCTGGGGTAGGTGGCTCTCTGGCGTAGGTGGCTCTCTGGCGTAGGTGGCTCTCTGGGGTAGGTGGCTCTCTGGCGTAGGTGGCTCTCTGGGGTAGGTGGCTCTCTGGCGTAGGTGGCTCTCACATAGGTGGCACTGTAATTTAGAAGAGTTTCTGTAGTAAGGGCGTCTGTTTCCCATGCGGAGAGACTGGAGTTTTCACCCATGTAAGATCTTCAGCTCTTGGACTCCGCTTTCATCACCGCCCTTAATTGCAGTGTCTCCCAGCCCTCTTGCCTCTTACCATACCTACTCTTGAACCTGTGTGGAGTTAGCACTTCCCACACTGAAGTGCTTTCTTACACCCTGATGGCTCACCCGAGTTTCTAGTGTCCAACTATGCCCTCTCCTGCTTCCATGTTTATAATGAACATTCCGTTTAGGTTCACTTATGTCAATGCGTAGTTTGGGCCCCTGACGTACGCATTGGTGTTAGAGAGGCCATGACTCCTTTACCTTACGCTTCTCTGCTGATTAGTTTAAGACTTTTGTTCACACTTTATTTTGTGTTGCTTAAGTGAAGGACATATTAGAGTCACTTAATTGTATTGTTTAATGTACGCTTAAAGTAATGATATTGAAATGATATTGAAATGATATTGAACGTTGGAGTTGCCTTTTCTCGCCTACCTACCTACCTACCTACCTGCCTTCATTGTTCCTTCAAAGATCGGGTTTCAGGGAGAATGATCCCTGGAGCCACCTCGGAGTTGGCACAAGAATGTATAGTGCCTCAACTGCCAGTTACGTGGACGTAGCCAAGTACTGGGTCTGTCTTCATGCTGTTGCTAATCTGTAATGAACTGGAAAAATAAAATGACTCCTCGGGTAAATAATATGGTGCATGTAGAGTGTTTTTCTTGTTTTCTCACCCTCTAAAATATATATTTTGAAATGTGAATTATGATACGTACTGAGAAAAATATGGTAAATATATATATATATATATATATATATATATATGGTAATAATAATAATGTATGTGTAATTAAGTTATAAATGAAGTAGAAAATTTCACGAAGAACTAAATAGGAAGTAGGCATAATAAATGAAGCCGGAGAGATGCTGTGATTCCTCACTGTCAGCCCGCGGCACCAATAGGCTTACTCCATTAGCCAAGGATTCCTGTTGGGAATTCACCGCAAGATGTGCGTGAAAGTGCGCCTTGGCGTGGGTTATCTGTTAAGGCCGGTTGTTGTAATGGAGGCCGCGACAGCAGCAACAACGTCTTAGATCACAACCGTAAGGGCGTGTAATCTTGCGCTCGCAACAGTATCTCTGACCCCGCTGGTGGATGTGGTCTATCAAGATACTGCCATCACCATCACACACACACAAATCTGCGACTACCCCCCGACGGATGTGATTCAACAAGCGCATATAAGCAAGGCCAGAAACTGTGGCTGTATTACAATTACGAATTGATGTAATAACCGAAAATTATGGATAATGGGCGTCTGAGAGCGGTGGAGACCCCTCACTCACTAAACTGTGCGGGGTAATCGCTCTCGGGGACCCTGGGCTGTGCTGTAGAAAGCCGGCCCGCGAGATGGATGGCCATACACCGTATAATTTCAGTTACTTTCGATAAATAGGATAATTTGAGAGAAGACAGCTCTTCATTCTATTTTCAATACATTGTATTATGATGGCATCGATGCTTCGAATGATAAGACATCGAGGCGTATCGAGAATGTTTGCCGAGGGTGAAGCATTGACGGCTGAGCAGAGCAGCCCGTCCTCCAAACTAAGACCCAAAAGTGATTCCATGCTCCCGCGAAACCCCCTGTTTACGAATGAAAAATGGTTTACACACGACTCAACTGATTTCGTCCGAACAGTTCAGGAACAAGTGCTGCACTGACGAATTTTGTTTGAACCACAACTCTGTAGATGGTTCACCTACGTACTACAAATAATCGCCAACAGAACCTAAACACCTAACCTAACCTATGCCTACATATGCACAATATGTCAATATACTATAATATTAATTTATATTTGAGAAATTTCCCGTGTTGAATGAACAGCATGTATAAAATTATGAATGCGTCTGTGGGGTCGACCGCTGGATGTAATGGACTTGAGTCGAGGACGGGTTGGAGCGGAGCCGATGAGCTTAGGCTACTTATAAATATAAACACTAGAACAGCTTGTAAGCGTGGCTATAGTTTTGTATACAAGTGTGTGATCTAATAATTTCCATTTGATTTCTGGTTCCTTTGCAAAGCTTTCCATCTCACCTCAGCGGAGCCCGCCAGTAGAACAATAAGAGAAGTAATTTATAACAGTCAGGGCAGAATACGATGATGAAGTGGGCCCCGCCATGACGCAGCAGCGCGCTGGAAAACCTCCCGGAATTGCATTAACGATTCTATTTTGTTTTCTCGATCGCTTCATCCGCAGACTTGCAGATTCTGGTGTCTGTAATTCAAGTTATTATTCTTATTCTGACAATGTAATAAGCTCCTCCATTTTGCCAAGGGCTTTAATCATCCATGCGGGTTTTAACCATCCATGGGGGTTTTGGCAGGTGAAATGCTTTCCGCAGTTGTGAAAGAAGTTGCTAACAATAGCCAGCGGGGATAATTTATCCTGAATGCCGTTTAGAATACGCTAATAAGATGATAATAATGTGATATGCTAATTAGATGACTGACATTTTCTCCCTGTATAGGGTTAGCGGGAGACGGTTGACAGAGGGTTGTAGTGAAGCTGAAAGCAAAGAAGTAATATTCATGAGTGGACAACGGCGCGACCTTAGCAGCCGTGACAATACACTGCGCCCTGCGAGGATAATTTGAATAAATGTCACAGGCTATTATTTTGACCGCGGAAGGGCTGGCAATTTTAATATTCGCATAGCCAGTAAATGTCATGAATGGTTGATGTCGGTGTAGAGCTCTCTGGGAACAAAAACCCGAGCAGGATATGAATCACCATGCAAAGAATGGACATTAGAATTCTTTAATACATTTTTTCTTCTTTTTGTGTGTGTGTGTGTGTGTGTGTGTGTGTGTGTGTGTGTGTGTGTGTGTGTGTGTGTGTGTGTGTGTGTCCCCGTGTCCTCGTGACTGGACAATAGGAGGGAAGGAAAGGTGGAGAAGGATAGTGTGACATCACTAAATTTTTAGTCTCGATTGTGTTTTATCAACGAGTGGGGGAATTTGTTTAATATGCTGGGCGATGCTAGCGTAGGGGGTGGTAGTGGTTGTGATGAAGATGGCGGCAGTGGGTTGGTTGGTTGGTTGGTTGGTGGTAGGTAATAATCCAACATGTTGCACTGTGTTCCTCAGCAACTGAGGCACGCCACACCCTTGGTTCTACACTTGGAAACACTGTCGGTTACCGAACTTAGTTTATTTATAATAGGACTTTCAGTACGTTTAGAAGCCGTTCTTTAAAGTTCAAATAGCGTGTTCATCTTGTATGTATACATTATGTTCATTCCCCGCAGCAAACCACCATTAGAGAGGTGCTTCACTACAACTACTATACACTCTGAGGGAAGCACGCACTCACATGCAAATTTTTGTTGGTAATCTGCAAATAGATAATGAAGGGTTAAGGTTTCACCTGGGTGACGGCCCACTGTCGAGTCTCGGACTTGGACGATGATGGAGTACTCCTCTCTCCTGTCCCGGCCCCTCTCTTCCTCCAGCTTGCGTCCCTTCCCTCTTTCCAGCTTACCTCTGATTATCCCAACCCTTTCTTGCTATATCCCTTGTTAGACACTTTTCCTTGCTACTTGTCCACCCACCCACCTCTTCTTCCTGTTGCTCCTTCCCCATTCTTTTCCCTCCTGTCCTTTCTGAGTCCTATTCCCCTTCCATTCTCTAGCCCGCCTCTTCCAGTCACTCCCGCACCATATAACCCGGGGCCCTTGTGAGGGGACTCCCAGCAGCTGGACATCCTCATAAATACTGTCAAGCAGTACCCTCCTCTGCGATAGCAGCCTGACGATTACATGCGACCTCAGAACACAGAATACATAAAATCTACCACTTACGGGCTATTCATGCCCGTGCCACCTCTTGGATGGCTTAACCTTCATCAGTTTGAGAGGGCGTCATAGACACCGTCGACTCTTGGTGTGCAGGCTGTACTCCCCGCGGGTCCCAAGGAGAGGTGGTGGAGCCTGGAAGGGAGTGCAAAAGAAGCATCCAGCAAGGGACTTTCTTGGTTATTGAGATTTTGTGTATGTGTAATTGGAATATATTGGCCAAAGTTTTAATGTAAAAAGTTGTATAAAACTGTCTGGGGGCCGCGGCTACACATGTGAAATGAGATTCTATCTTTTTTTTTATATATAATTTAAACATACAGGCGCACATTCTTGTTAATGTTAAGGGCAGCTGATGGAATTACGGCTCTTTGCCAGTTGTTTTTAGCTAGATTAAGACTAGTATATCTCTTTATTTTCTCTCCGTGTTTATAAGTTTCGTAGTGACTCATGATGTCCGTGTTTTCAAGAGGACATGTACATAGTTGTGGGAACTGACGTTAGACGAGATGTCAAAGGAAATGTTAATGTTTGTTGGGGAAGTGTATGATGACACGTGTGGCAGTGTAGAGAATTATGAGGGTGTAGGCAGACCATTATGGTGGCGTGACAATCGTAGCATAGTGTACAATATCATCTTGAACGTCTCTACGTATAAAATGTTATGTTGATTTCGTTGCAAGTTGTTTTCTTGCTGTTGGCTTCTTGTGTTCCTTTTTTTGTATGTTGCCGCCGGCTGCTCTCATTCCTGCCGATCCCGCCGCTGCTCCTGGGACCTCACTTACCACTGCTCCTGCCACTATTGCCACTGCTTCCGCTTATCCTGTGTTTCTTACCTATGATCCCGTCATTGTTGCTATTGACCCCGACCCCGTTTCGGATGCTGCCTCCGTTCTTCTCTATCATGTTTGTCGATCGCTTCCGATTCTGTTTATCGCTCCTGTCCCTCGAGCCTGTCGATCCTGCCCCCTCCACAGCCTTATGTCAGTTCCTTCTGCCCCCCCCCCCCCCCCACTTCTTTCTCTCCTGCTGCCGTTCCTTCCTCCCGCCCTCCCTCCCCCCCCCCCCCTCCCTCCACCTTCCATCCCGTTACAGTCGTTACAGGTCACCTTCTGCTTGTGCAAAATACTGTTCCTTATTTTCGGTCGGGTATTCCGTGGCATTGTTCCATTGTAATGGAAAAAGTTTGTCAGAGAATTATGGGAGGACCTGAGCCCATCAGAGACAACAATAGGCAGGTAATTTTTGTTGAGTAATTTTACACAGTTTGCCCACAAGTTTGTCTTATCATAATATATGCGAAAATAATTGACAGTGGATCCCAAGCGTATCGTATCGCGTTGTGGCGCTTTCCCAAATGACTGCACCAGTTGCCCTCTGCCTCCTCCTCGAGGTCACGGGAATGCCAACGTCTTCATTTTTTTTTAATAGGACCTTCTTGAGTTTTGTTATAATGAAGCATATATGAAGGTGGGAGGGAGGAGGATGTTTGCCAGGACTTGCCAGTAGCGAACATTAAACAACAGACTGACGATGCCGTTGTTGTTTAAAATTCAATTACTCGGAACAAAAAATTGCAAGTAGCACGGGCTATGGTGAGTCCGTTGTGGACTTACCTGGCACAGGAGCGGGGCTGTAACTTGCGCTAACGATGACAACAGCCGCATCGTTTTGCGTTAGTGTATGGGTAGTGAGATGGAGATTGATGGTGGGGGAGGGGAGCAAAGATTGAGGGGGGGGGGGATTGAAGGGGTTGGTAAAGATGGAGAGGGGGGGGGGTTGGAATGAATGGCGAATCTCGACAAATTGACGGTTCCTCATGTAAACGTTATGTCAGGCAAACAAAAATAAGATGTCCCAGTCAGATTTTGTTAGCAGGTCATGTGTGCGGGAACGAGAGGGAGTCACGAGATGCATATTATGTCTATTGTTGCTTCTCGTGTTTCTTTAATTTGAGGGCTTGTGGTAGAGAGGGGAGGAAGCCGCTTGCGGTAGAGGTGGGGAGGCCGCTTGCGGAAGGGAAGGGGGGAGCCGCTTGCGGTAGAGCGAGATAGGAATCACGGGTTGTGATGCAGTATAGTGACGTGTTATCCGTGTACCACGTCTCTGGTGACGCCACGGATTAACATGTCCTGCTGACTTGTCCAGGTGAAATGCTCCTCTGATGGGCTCTGCCACATTTACCTCACGACCAATTACCCACCGTCCTCTTCCTCCTCCCCACTCTCCCAATACCTAGCATCTTGATTATTTACAACAGCAATGACCAGAAAATAATGGTCTCTGCTCGTGGCCACGGGCGCTCTCTCACTCCAGTTGAAAATCATGAATGATATTTGTCGAGTAAATACAACAATGTGGAGCCTGTGTGTGTATACGCTACTGGTGCAAAATGGTGCAGCTATTACAGCAGGATTAGGAGACTTGATTCATATAAATGTTCCAAGTGTGAATGAAGTTCAGTGAGCGGTGTGTATCAAATAATTAACAATTCACCGAAAACTAGGCTACTGGCAGTGCCCTGCTCGAGGCCCGCCCGACACACTCGCCTTTTTATACCTCATTTTTTATATTCGAGACTGTCGGTGAAAAATTCAGATTTCAATTAGGGTGGTGTGTACGCGGATAACAATATATCTTTAATTGACAAGTTGAAAAGCCAACGCCCTCCCGTTCCTACAACCTCCAGTCTATATATCTTTTTTTTTTTTTTTTGGCTTTTGAGCTACAATTGAAGGTTGGGAAGCAAAGTGGAATAATTTTTAATTATTTCTTTCTTTGTCATGTTTGCTTGACAAGGTCTTCAACCACACAAGGTAGCGGCAGCAGCAGCAATAACCGCCGCCTTTGTCATTGAGCATAGTCCACCTCCTTCATAAATTATGTTTTGCCCAGAGATTTCTTATCTTATTTGTCTTTTTGGGACATCTGGCTACTAAACCTGCATATTGTCAGAGGCTGAATTGAGTACTTTAGAGATATTTTAAAACGTATCGGAAATTGTCAAACTTACCACTGTACAGATGATAGAAAAATAATTGACTGTATAGCTTGCTAGTTATGGTTTATCTCTTCTCATATCTAAAACAAGCAGAATGTGTGGATTAAATAAATGAATACCCGGATTCGAGTAAAGGTCAAACTCTCTGTAATCATTAAAATATATATATATAGACCGGGCAGACGATGGTCACTCGCCATGTGTGGTGTTTCCCGCGTAAAATATGAGTCGGCGGGCGGCTCTCCTGGGCGTCCGCACCTGTCGCTTCACCTCCACATTAATTGTCATCAAATGTCGCCATAAAATTATCATCAGTACTTTGTCGGCTTCATGAGCACGTACGAAATCACGCACACGTACAAAGGGGGTGGGGACATATTTAAGACATAAATGATACGGGAATTGACAAGGTCAACTTATGATAACTGTACCCAAATGATGCTTCCAGTATACACGGAAACTGATTATCCAGATGAACCGGAGAGATATCAGAAGGAATGTCCTCAGTGTGGTGGGAGTGAGCTAGTGACATGCACCAAGAGAGGAAACAATTGAGCAACCTACATACACAATGTGAAATTATTATTTTTTATTACTTGATTCACTTGTAAATATAAAACATCCCTCGGTGAGTAATGATGCAGGGTCCAGGAGCTAGAATTAATTTGCCATCAAACACGCGAGTACATACATACTGACATTTTATTCCTTAGTTATTGAGTCCCGAAATACATTATATGGGTGTATGACAGTGGCGCTGTAGTCATCATACAGTGATGACTATGTGACAGTTCCCTACTCCAACGATAGCATGTTTCAGGGCACCAACCCTTGCCGGGTAATTATTATAGGTTTTACACACGTGCACACATTAGAGGCCTGTTAGCTGAGTGGACAGCGCTTTGGACTCGTAATCCTAGAGTCTGGGTTCGATCCCCACAGATGGCAGTAAATAGGTACGTGGGAGTTAGACAGCTGTTACGGGCTGCTTCCTGGTGAGAGGGGAGATAATAAATTAGTAACAGTTGATTGACAGTTGAGAGGCGGGGCGAAAGAGCAAAGCTCAACTCCCGCAAGCACAACTAGGTGAATACACACACACAAGCACACAAATCAAATGGAGAAGGTGCAAAGGCATTATACAAAATGGGTTCCAGAACTGAAAAACAAGGTACAAGGAGAGACTAGAAGCGTTAAATATGCCAAAACTAGAAGATAGGAGAAAATGAGACGATATGATCACCACTTACAAAATACTAACAGGAATCGACCAAATTGACGAAGAGGAATTTCTGTAACCAGCAACTTCTAGAACAAGAGGACACAGATTCAAGCTAAGGAAACAAAGGTGCCGAAAAATATAATGAAAGTTTTCTTTTGCAAACAGAGTGGTAGACGGTTGGAAAAAGATGAGTGAGAAGGTGGTGGAGGCCAAAACCGTCAGTGGTTTTAAAGCGTTATACGACAAGAAGTGCTGGGAAGACGGGACACCATGAGCGTAGCTCTCATCCTGTAACTACACCCACGAATATTACCTTCCCTCTCAATGTATATAACAGTGTGCTATCTCCTTCCCCTCGTCCACGTTAAAGCCTCAAGACTGTGAATACGTTAAGGTGACAACTCTCGCAAACTTTTCATTCCGATATATTATTTCATCTATTGACCATGGTTTATGATCTTTCTTCATGAAACTCACTCACCAACATTAATACATTTATCTCTCTCAGCTCTCATGACAGATCTTTATAGAATTTTCATATATATATAAATTATATTATATAATATACATATATAATACAATTATATATATATATAATATTATAAAGGCACCTAATTGGCCCGTGCGTGGGCTAGTGTGTCTGTTTTTCCCCGTCTGTGCATTTATCTAGCTATCTATACATTCAGCCATCTGTGCATCTATTCATCTCGCTTTTTGTCCATCTGTCTATGCATCTATCCATACATCCACCTACTCATCATCCTATCCATCTACCCTTCCAACTATCTACTTTTTATCTCTGCCCCTCTCTTTGTCTCTTATCTTCTTCTTTTTCCTCTAAACTATGTAATTGTCTGTGTGGGTAGTTGCTAGTGAAAGGAGCTTTGAAGTGATTACACCATACTCTAATAAAGGACTTGTGGCTTGACACCTTTTGAAGCTGTGGAAGAATCATCTGCTTTATGCGAGTATGAGCAAGTTATCGACAGCAGGAATTTTCTGTTAATTTTCTTGATCAGTGAATAATGGTGCATATTACTGTAAGAAAAAATGTTTTTTAAAAATTTGGAAACTTATGAAAACTACAAAGTCAATGCCCCCTAGCTTCACCAGCTGGTCTAGAGATGGCAGCTGTATAACTGGTGAGCAGTGCCAGAAATCGTGGTGGGGGTCTTAATGTGGCCCTGGCACGCTATTCCATTTTGAATTCTGGAGACCCTGACCAGCCTATGTTCTTCCCGTACTCCAGACCATTCCCTCTGCCAATTTGGGTGATCGTAACCCTAAGTGCCTTCAACTTTGAACAGAAAGACAGGCAGGCAGACATTCTTTCTTATAGTATATATTTAATGTTCTACCTAATAGGCCAAGTTGCCAAAGAAGCAAAATTTTCCTGAAATATTATAGTTTTTAATAATTATCATTATGGAATGATAAAGGTTTGCATTACATTATACACATTTTTTTTTAGTCAATACAAATTTTATCAAACCTAACATAAGTCAGTAATTCATCTTCTTAATATATGTAATAATATTAATTGGAATTAACCAACTTTGAAAGAAATATTTGAAAATAACGAAAATCACTCTGCTTGTTAGGCAAATCGGACCTTGCATACTAGGTAAATTAGTGCGGTGCTGGCTATTAAGTACGACATATTTATATATAAGTGTCACCCAAAAATGTACATACACTTTGATTAATTACAAAAGTTAGTGTTTATTAAAATACATTTAATTTTCAAAAATATAATAGTCTGCAGACATTGTTTAGTTTTGTCAACGCGTGTTTTCAAACTGATGTCTGTTTTGGTGCAGGCACTTCTTATAACGCAAAGCAGTGGAATCACATACATCAAGAAACATTTCATTTGGTGTTTTGAGTGCATTCTTGTTCAATGGCTATTTTCAGTTCAGTGACTGTTGCCGGTTTTGTAGCGTAGACTTTAAATATGAACATAAGAACATAAGAACAAGGTAACTGCAGAAGGCCTATTGGCCCATACGAGGCAGCTCCTATTTATAACCACCCAATCCCACTCATAAACATGTCCAACCCGCGCTTGAAACAATCGAGGGACCCCACCTCCACCACGTTACGCGGTAATTGATTCCACAAATCAACAACCCTGTTACCGAACCAGTATTTACCCAAGTCTTTCCTAAATCTAAACTTATCCAATTTATACCTATTGTTTCGTGTTCTGTCTTGTGTTGATACTTTTAATACCCTATTAATATCCCCTTTGTTATGTCCATTCATCCACTTGTAAACCTCTATCATGTCACCCCTAACTCTTCGCCTTTCCAGTGAATGCAAGTTAAGCTTTGTTAATCTTAATTTATATGAAAGATTTCTAATTGGGGGAATTAACTTAGTCATTCTACGCTGGACACGTTCAAGTGAATTTATATCCATTCTATAGTATGGCGACCAAAACTGAACTGCATAATCTAAATGAAGTACTGTATCTCCATAAAAAATAAGTCTAGAAGTGTGAGATCTGGTGAACAGGGAGGGTATTATTCGAAACCCCTTCATCCAATCTACCTCTTTGGCAAGATCCCATCAAGGTAGAAACTTGTATCACGATGGTTGTGTGGGGGATGCCCCATCTTACTGAAAAATAAATGTGAAGGGAAACATCAATTGAGCGGTGTTAAAGTGTGTGTACATTTTTTGGGGACACCCTGTATATATATTGCATTATATGTTGAGTGCCTCATATCTATATTAAAAATGAGCTACTGTGTACATATGAAATACATTTAGATGTGCCACAAATCTAACACTTAGGCTTCTCCCAACAGACACATACCAGGCGCAGGTGCAGGCAGCGTGGCAGAAGAGCTGGAACCAGACCCAATCCCTCCTGCAGAACCTGAGGTTTAGAGAACGTGGACCTTTGAAGTCTTGGAGACCAGAAACCATGGCCGAGGCCATTCACGCTGTGCTGAAGGAAGGGTTGTCCTTGTCTCAGGTGGGCACTTGTACTCTTGCTAAAACCATCATCAGGCAGATTCACTTTTTGTTATATTAGTTCTTAGGTTTATCTTCAAGTAATGTTACATGATGGAGAGTCTGTAGATGGTGTAACTTTCCTAATTTCCTGCATTTCATACTGTATATAGTATACTTTTAGTTGCAAGCTTTGTTGTTTAATTTTGCAAAGCATTGACAACAACATAGGAATAAAAGAAAGAACTAGTAATCATTTGAGCCAGCTTCTGTTTACATGCACCCAAACTCGTCGTATATATATGTGTAACCTATGCTTGAAACACTCCATTGATCCCACGTCTATAAAGTTATACGGTAATTTGTTTCATAAATCAGTAAACCTATTTCCAAATCGTATTTACCCAGGTTTTTTCTAAATCTAAACTTGTACAATCTATATCCATTGATTTGTGTTGATATATTAAAAATCTTAATTGCATTCCCTTTCATACATCTATATACCAGTACTTCAATCATGTCACCCCTCAATTGCATAATCTATATGGAGCCTAACAAGAGTAAAATAAAGATGAACAATAATATTAGATATTTTGATGCTAGCATTTCAAGAAATCAATCTTATCATATTTGCCTGACTCTGTACATTTATGCACTGATTTTTCTGGCCTAAGATCCCTACTAATCATGACTAAGAGCTTTCTCACTTCAAGACTTTACATTTTCAACATTGTCAAGCTGATATCTAGAAACTCATATTATTATTATTATTATTATTATTATTATTATTATTATTATTATTATTATTATCTAAGTTCAGAAATCTACACTTTTCAACATCAAGCTTCTGCTGTAAATCTTTCGTCCATTTTGAAAGGTTATCTAGATCATCTTGTAGCCATTTTTTTGTCTTGTGAATTTATTTCTCCATCATATTTTGGTATCGTCTATCAATCTGCAAATGTTGCGGTTCAATCCTGCTAAAATTACTGTGCCTAATCAACCCATCGTCCATTATTATAATGTTGCTCATATGTATTAGGAGAACTACAATACAAATTTGTGCACACATAACTTTTAAATTTACATTCGTCCACAGGCTGCCCGCAAGTACGACATACCATACCCCACGTTTGTACTTTACGCCAACCGGGTACACAACTTGCTGGGGCCGTCACAAGAGCCAGGGGACATGCGGCCTAAGGGTCGGGGTCGTCCACAGAGGATACTGCTGGGGTCGTGGCCGGAGGATCAGATCAAGGGCGTGATCAGGGCCGTCGTCTTCCGGGACACCTCTGTGTTCAAGGAAAATGAGCATAAGGTGGGCGGGAAGACAAAGGTACTGTCCAATTGCACTGAAGCTTGCATCAATTTCCTTTTATTCAAGAGTGAATTAGTTTCACAGTTTTGAGTGTTATGTTTACCCGAGAGCACATGCACTCCCATTTTATACAATTCAGGTTCACTGCAGCACTTTGAACGAATTTGTGTTAATAACGTCTCCAAACTTTTTTTTATGAATATTTGTTGTAGAATATGTTTTTCCTAGTATCTATTTCATTTCCATTTGTTCTTGATTAAAACAAAATAATCTGCCTTGATTTATTGTATTAGAAAAAATAACTTGAGAATGATGTCACTTTGGTGATTTTATTAAAAAAAAAAAAACACCCTGCATGTATTTTGCACATAAGTAATGATTAATGTTTTATATAAATGTCCTTTCCACCTCTTCCTCAAATTTAATGTTTTACAAGTACAGGCATTACTTGGCTTAACTCACTACCAACAGCACAAATGGAACATAAGTTACTGAATTCAGTACGGTATTTCCATGTGTTTTGTGTCATTTTATCTTCACCCTCTAATTAATTACTCGTTCACTAATAGTAATTGTCTCCAAGACCTGTAGAACTCATCTCCCCAACATTTAGTCACAATATTTACCTTTACTGTAGACTTGGTGTTCACTATGTTTTTTCTGTGTTTTTTTTAGGAAAACAAGCAGCCACTTACGCCCAAGCTGCATCGGGTTAGTATATTTACCTCTTCTTTATTAAAACCACAATGTCTCTTTTAAACTATTAGTGTAACTTTTCAGTAGTAATATTGAAAAGTTCAGCACTGTAATATACCGTGCAAATAATATATACATACAGAATATAATTTGCACAGTAGTCTTCACATTTCATACTTTGTCATTTTATTGTGAAGAGTAAGAAGTTAAGTTTGTTGTGTTGATCCTATAAAATATCAGTAGGTTACTGCCCTTCCCTCTGTACCTACTGATGGACTAAAATATATATTGGTATGATTAGTAAATTTTGTAATGCTAATGTAGTTAAAATAAAAGTGGGATGGAAATAGATTTAGCTTGTGTATATAATGAGGACAGGAAGCCAGCAGCTTGTCTAAGGTGCTCCCCACTTATTAGAACTAGACGGTTTGAGAAGTGGTCACATGGTTCTTGGCTTCTCTGGGTCTTATTTCAAATTTATTATGACCTTTCTCTCTTGGTGTCAAGTAATAATTGGAAGGCAGTAATAGAGATACCATATGTCTCTTCTCAGGAGGCTAGGAATGAGTTGTTAAGGGCATAAGCTCCCTCATTCTTTGAATTTTTTTTATCCTTAATGAAAGAAAATTAATTTGGACTTTTTATTTTTCAGGATGATCCTGCTGGTATGCTCATGAAGCCCAATGGTCCTATGCTACCCAATGTGTCTGGTATCTTGACAGGCTTATCTCTTGACACCCCAGATAATGGAAGTCTTTCAACTGCTCCCAGCACTCCAGCATCAGCCACCCCAGCACCATCAACACCTACAGGAGCCACCCCGATCCCAACACCATCTACAACACCAGCTACAACTACACCTGTCGCCTTGCCCCTTACTACACCTCCAACTCCAGGAAGCACAGTAGCTACAGCAGTGTGCAGTCCAACATCTAATGAATCTCGTTTGGCTAATACCACCATGGTAAACAACTCTACTCCTTCTCCTAATAGTATGGTGTCTGCTTGTCTAACTACTATGACTCTTACGTCCTCCATCGTGTCCTCACCAGTGTTTAGCCTTGCTAACAGCAATGGCACTACAAGTAATGGCAGTATTACTAGTAATGTTACCAATGGAGAGTCGCCAGTTAGTCCAAATGCAGGGATTCAACAGCGAGAAACATCACCAAATAATTCCCATCAGAACCAACAACAAGAACAGCAACAGCCAAAACAAGAACTTCAACCACAGCAGCAGGAGCAACAATCACAGCAGCAACCACATCAACAGCAACCTCAGTCACAGCAACCACAGTCGCAGCAGCAGCAACAGCAGCAACAGCAGCAACAGCAGCAGCAGCAACAACAGCAGCAGCAACAGCAACAGCAGCAGCAACAGCAACAGCAGCAGCAGCAGCAACAACCACCACAGCACCTGCAGCAACAGCCATCACCACAGCACCAGGCTCAACGTCAAGGACCACACCATGGGCCACATCCAGGTTCACATCCAAGTCCAGGTTCACATCCAAGTCCAGGTTCACATCCAAGCCCACACCATGGTCAACATCATGGCCCACATCATGGTGCACACCATGGTCCACACCATGTCCCACATCCAGGACCACCTAGAGGTCAGCATCATAGTCAGCTTCCTGGCCAGCAACTCCAGGGTCAACACCAACAGCATCCACAACCCCAGCATCCACAGCAGCATCACCAGCATCCACAACTTGGAGGCCTGTTACCCAGTGGACTTCCCTCTCCCTTAGCTACATCTCTGGCATCACCTGTCCATCTGGCACGATTATTTGGTGAAAGTGCTCATCCTCACCTTTCTGGTCACCAACACCCACAACACCCACAAACTCCTATCAGTCCCTTCCATCCCGCTTTCCCTCGCCATCCTCATCCAACTGCTGCAATGCAGGTAATGAATGCCATGAACAGTCTCAATGCCCATGCTTCTCGAATGAATTCTAATGATGTTGAGCCATCGCCTGAAGCCTTGCTCTTCAGCAAACTAACAAACCCTCACATGAACCCCACTCAGGGTAGTGGTGAAAGCATTGCACGAAGTGGTCCAACTCAAAACCAATTTGACAACCATGGAGATGCCTCCAGCTTGGCTGGTATTGTAGATCGTACATCTCTAATGTATCGTGATGGCCTAGATAATATTAAATCTGAACCTGAACCAATCCTGAATTGAAATTCCCACTGCTCTTAACATTGACCCTCACATAATATAGAGAGCTTAAGTGTAAGTGTTAGTGATATACAGATATCAGTATCAATAGCAGCATTCAAGGGTATCTGAAATATTTTACCTTAACTGCTCGTTTGTTGTGCTGTGTATAGGATCCCGGACTCATGAGTTTTGTGTAGGGACCATATTCTCTATGAAAACTTTTGCACACCTCTTTATAAGAGCATATTTTAATTGATTATGTAAATAGTAGAGGATTACATATGTAGCTTTGCATCTGCATTTGTCCAAAGCAGTTGGGCATTACCTCAAAGTGAAACTCAATCATACGCAGTGTCACTGTACAAACTGGACATGCCAATATTCCCCTCATGTATATAGTAAAGGTGACTGGTGCATGTAACTCTGCGTGATGCCTTGCACCCTTCACTTTCAGTCTGAAGAATGGGTTTTTATACCTTTTTGAAAGGTATTGTTGCTTTACTTGTTAGTAATAGATCAGAAGCTGATATAGGACTAGGGTAGGAAAATTTGGTTTATAACAATATTGTATATTAATTTATTTTACTGATCCAAGAATACATTTGCCTTCACCTAATCTTTTGCCTTAATTGAAAGGAAGGCTATGGCTATGCCCATGTGGCAAGTAGAAGGCTATTGTTACCCACGCATTGACAGTGACACAAAATAATTTTTTTTCGATTTTGCATAAAAAAAATGTTCCAAACTCTTGATAATGCAGTGTATTTACAAAAGTGTCAGTGTTTTTCTTTAATTTATTGTGGTTTTTGCATATTCAGTAAAGGATAGAATGTATGCAGGAGTGTGTGTGCATGCATGCATGTGGGTGTTTGTGTATGCATGCATATATGCAAGTGTGGGTGTTTGCATGTGTAAGTGTAATAGTGTACTTAATAGCCAGAGTTGCCTAACAAGCTGAATTTTGTAAAATTTTAAATTGTTTATATTTTTATCATTTATATATTTAATGGAACTACCTGTATGTGATTTTATTTAGAGTTAAAATTAAGTTAGCAGTCTGACCTAATATGAATCTCTGAGCACAATTTTCAGTACATTTTCCTATTCCCAAAAAAAGAACCAATCAAGATAATCCAGGTATTGAATAACTTCATTATAAATATTGTGAACTTTCATACATCTGACAAATAGATAAGAATATTAATACATGGATCATTAAATCTAAAATACAGTTTATATGCAAAATATGCACAGAACACCTTGGCCATTTTCCAGTACATCATCATATTTTTACTTAAATGTATTCCCGATGTGCCTGTTTCAGTAAAGATATATCGAGCATCTTTGCTGAAACGGGCTCCTTGTGACTACAAAAGGAAAATAATTGATTTGGCTGTCATTGCATTTTCCAAAAATTCAACATACTGAATCATAAAGCCAATGGAGTCATGGCAGGACCTGACTTGGGTGAGGAAGCATGAAGGTGGTTTACTCAAAAGAATTTTGTTGGAATTCTTGTGGGTGATGATCAAATCAAAGGTACAGCAGACATTTGTGCTTATAATTTTGATATTGCTTTTATAGCAAATTCTGGGCGGCTTCAGAATATTAAAAGATGGCATGGAATTGATAAGTGGAAGGTCTATGGTTATAAATTTAGTGCTGAATGTGAAGTGTGTGGTGTTATTTAAGAGGGGTGTGTGGGTGCCATAAATATTATTTGAGAACTATAATGATGAAATAATGAATTTTGTTGGGACAGGAAGCCTGTATGTACAAACTTGTTAGGCATATATTGAGAGATTCCCACAAGGTTGAACTACTGACCCTTCCCACCCAGAATGCAACCCCCACAACAAGCTGACTAACTTCTGGGTACCTGTTTAATACTAGGTTAACTGAGGCATTAGGTGACAGGAAACATCAACCATGTCTGTCCTACCTGGGATTTGAAGCCGGAATTCCCAATTGTGAGTCGAGAACAAAGCTGACCACTTCTGGATGAAAAGGAAATATGCATTAAGGTAGACTTTAGTGTCTAACTTAAATAGACAATCTTTTGGATACTTCCTGCAAGACGGACCCCGAAGATATTGTCATTTATTCCTAAATTTATTCCTAAAGTTATGCAAGATAACGTTAGGAATGCCAAAAATTTCCAGAGGGATAGAGTAAGAGTTGAAAATATATAGCTACACTGCCAAATCTTCCATTTTAAAAACGGTCAAGTTTCTTACCTCTGTCTAAGAGTCAAGTTAAGGTCTTTCTCGCAGTGTTAGTGGCATGTCGGGACCACTTGCCCGTTAAACCTGGCACTCAACAGTTTGATGACTTTGCTTTAGCATGATTACTCTCCAAAAAGGCATCTGTTCCTTTTTGCTAATTTTGTATTTACACGTATACCATACAGTGCTACAGAATAAGTACATATATTACTTAAAGTGCACTTACTGTACAGCATTGTGTGCAAATCTTTGAGTTCACATGCACAAATGTATTATCACCTGTCGAAAAAATGAAATTTGGCAAAAAAATACAGTACTGATGTAATACATTTGAATATATACAAAAATTTAAAGTTCAAAATGGGTCTGGAACCATTTACAGTCATCTGGCCTTTTTAAGGCTGCAGTGTGTACTTTATCATTTACAGTATGTATGAATGTATATATGTGTCTGCATGCTTTTGTGGAGGTGTGCTTAATTATTGAATTTAAATGTACAGTATATACAATACAGTATTTATATTCATTATTTAAAATATGCAAAACCACAGTAAATTCTTATAAAATACTCCGAGAGCTATTGTGAATAAATCACAAAATCAAGAAATAAGCTTGGAGTATTTTTTTTAATTTAATGTGATGTGTGCATCTGAAGCTGCATGATCTCTTTTTTTTTTTTTTTTTTTTTTTTAAATTATATATGTTTCA